ATTGGTTGAAGCACATGTGGGGTCATGTAGATACTTAATAACTTGTTCTTTGATTTACAAGCCCTAGGCATCTAGATTAGAAATAGCTACAAATTCTGTGCTTCCCTTGGAGAGATAAGTCTTTGTCCCTTTTCCTTGAATCTGGGTGGACCTACTTTTTGCTTGTACCCTCCTTTTTCCTGTTGGCTCCCTTCTTGTTAGATCATGGCTTGTTCTCAGGGTGCCTTTGTGATCTCAGGCAGCTATACTTCTAAAGATCCTGGCCTATATATCAGCTTACTTCCACAAAACGATTTATAGTTTACAGAGTGTTTGTATAAGATTTTGTTTTGTTTTGTTTGTGAGACGAAGTCTTGCTCTGACACCTGAGCTAGAATGCCGTGGTGTCAGTCTAGCTCACAGCAACCTCAGACAGACTCCTGGGCTCAAGTGATTCTCCTGCTTCAGCCTCCCGAGTAGCTGGGATTACAGGTGTGTGCCACCATGCCCAGCTCATTTTTCTATTTTTAGTAGAGATGGGGTCTCACTCTTGCTCAGGCTGGTCTAGAACTCCTGAGCTCAAGTGATCCTCCCACCTCAGCCTCCCAGAGTGCTAGGGTTACAGGTGTGAGCCACTGCTCCCAGCCATATAAGATTTCCTTGAAATCTTCATAATACCCTAGTAAGCCAAATGCTAGTGTGACCATTAGATAAAGAGTAGTGGTTGTGCAGGGTACACTTCTTGTTCAGCTTCAGATTTGATCCTCTGAATATCCAAGCTCTGCATTGGTTACCTTTGTTGCAGTGGCCATTGGAATGTTTTACATGGATTAATATTGACCAGAAATGCCTGGAACTGATACACTGAGCTGGATATTTGCTTTATCTGGCCGAGAGACATTTAACAGGCTTATTTACCAGGGAGTAAAGAGATTTACTGGGAAAACAAGATTTTATCTGAACATATTTATCTGTGGAAAGCAGACCATTTAGTAGCTGATGAGCCTATAGAAAAACAGATGAAGATGTGTGACTCTTCATCCCGGTCTGAATCATCAGGATTGTATGGCTTGGGAGTCAGAAGGTCAGAAAACCTGACTTTGTTCCTAGGGCTTTGGTTTCCCCATCTGTAAAATAGGATTGCAAAAGTCTTTATATTAAAGGAGTTTTTTTTTTTTTTTTTCTTTTTACTTGGGATCTTGCTCTGTTGCCCAGGCTAGAGTGCAGTGGCATGTCATCACAGCTCCCTGCTACCTCAAACTCCTGTGCTCAAGAGATCCTCTTCAGCCTCCTGAGCAGCTGGGACCATAGGCACATGTCACGAGACTCAGTTAATTTTTTAAATATTTTGTAGAGACTGGTCTTGCTATGTTGCTCAGACTGGTCTTGAACTCCTGGCCTCAAGTGATCATCCCATCTTGGCCTCCCAAAGTGCTAGGATTACATGTGTGAGCCACTATTCCTGCTTTAAGGAGTTATTTTTTTTTCTTATTATAATGATGCATAAGTGTAATTGTGGAAAACATAGAAAGGGAGAAAAAAATTCTTTCGTGGTTTCTACAACTCAGAGTTAAATCCTTCATGATTTTCTTTGCTCATTAAGAGGTGTCCATGCCACATACACACAGACATCGTAGACCTGGGACCATACTGGACATGTTTTTTAATCTTTTTTCATTCATTGTAACTTGAGTTTTTTCCCCATAGTAATTAAATGTTTTTTTGGGAATGTAACTTTTAATAGGTGCCAAATGTTCTTGTGTATGTGAGGAATATTTCAGATACTGGTCCCAAGGATGCTTATTGGGAATCATATCTGGAGCCCATCACTGGCTGCCCTTTATCCAATCTGCTGTTTGCTCAGTATCTTCCTAGGTCTCACTGCCTTCATTCTTGACCTCTCAGTTTGTCCGCATTGAGGCAAAGGACATCTTTTTTTTTTTTTTTTTTTTTTTTTTGAGACCGAGTCTCACTCTGTTGCTGGGGCTAGAGTGCTGTGGCGTTAGCCTAGCTCACAGTAACCTCAAACTCCTGGGTCCAAGCAATCTTCCTGCCTCAGCCTCCCAAGTAGCTGGGACTACAGGCATGCACCACCATGCCTGACTAATTTTTCTATTTTTAGTAGAGACGGGGTCTCACTCTTGCTCAGGCTGGTCTCGAACTCCTGACCTCGAGCAGTCTGCCCACCCTGGCCTCCCAGGGTGCTAGGATTACAGGCGTGAGCCACCGCACCCGGCTGACATCTTTATCTTTAAAAAAGCTTAAATCTACTCAGTACTAGCTGCACTTCGGATCAAGCCCCATGTGATCTGGCCTCTGGCTTCTGGCTTCCTCTTCCTCCCTCCCCTTCCTCCCTTCCCTTTTCTTTTGTATACCTTGTCCCAGCCACACTGCCCCCTTTCTGCCTCATGATCATGCCTAGCCCAAGGCCACCACAAGCCCTTGGCTCTTTCTTCTTTCAATGTGGGTATAGCCACCCCTTTCAAGCTCAACTTGAACAGCATTTAGAGTTTTAGAGCTCTGTCCCAGTACCCTGGTGAAAGCAACTTTCCCACAAAACCCTATATTATCTTAGCAAATTTCTATATTTGAAATTCTTATTTTTTGTTAGTCTGTCATCATGTACTAGGCCCTCAAATGTTTGTGGGCTGGTAGAGGGAATAAGGACCTATTCAGCACCTGCAAACCTGCTTTGGATTGTCAAAGACTGCCTGGCTGCATGCAGAGAGTAATGCCAGCCTGTGCTGGGGCAAAAAGAGACTAAACTCACCTAATACCTCAGCAGTGTCCGGGGCCCTGTGACACATACACTTTGAAACTTCACTTTTTGTTGTGTTTCACATTGGAAAGTGGCTTCATCCTATCCCTCTGACTCTTAGCTGTGTGTTTATTGATCCATTATTAGTACAGACTGCTAACATTTAATGATTTATAATTCATTGTTCTTCTTAATTATTGTGATGTTCAAATTATCCCAGATTTGAGCATTGGGAGTCCCTTTGAGTTGCTTCCTGTGTTCTTGTGATGTGCCCCTGTCAATTCTTTGAGCGCTTACTTACTTTTTGGCTCATCTTACATTCACCCTCCCTCAGCCATTTCTCCAAGGAGCCTGATTCCTTTTGGTGGTGAGTGTTATTGAAGAAAAGATCTAGGCACTGGGTGAGCTCATTGCCATTTCTTTGCTGTTGGACCCTCCAGCAGAAAATGTGGCTCCATTTTTAGATGACAAAGTGGTAACTAAGTGACTTGTCTAGACTACATAGCTTGTAGGGACAGAGTTAGTTTGTAGGGAGCACCCAGGAGGCTTCCTGGGTGTGTAGTGAAAGCTGATGCCTGGTTCATAGGGTATCCATGGTTCCCTATGTAGCATTCTAGGTACCTGGCATGGGATGGGACCTGTTTCAAAGTAGGTGCCCCATTAAAGGCTTGCTGTGTGATGAAGCATTAACAGAGATGGAGCAACAAGAGGGGGACAGTTGGGGTGGTCATGGATTATGGAGCTTCATGTGGGAAATTTGAGAAGGAGTTGGTGGGAGGATGTGGAGTTGGGCTTCTCAGCAGAGAGAGACCAATGCCAACTCAGTAGAGTTGTCAGTTTGGTGAAGACAAGTGGAGAGAGAAGTGGGCCCAAGGAGAGCTGTTTAGGGTGTCTTCCCCAGGTACCAGAGGAGGAAAAAGTGGGTGAGGAACTGAGGCAGGAGGTACTCCTCATCTCCATGTGGAGTGTCCAGGTGAGGGTTGTTTTTTTAGCCTGTGTGGACATGGCTGAGTTGCATAATGAAGGCACACAGGTAGAGCATGATCTGTCCTGAGTTCTGGTGAGATTAGATGGCATGATTGTCATACTTACAGACTGGTTGTGGGGGGATGTGCATGGGGGTTGATGGTGGAATAATCCAGTGTTTGTAACACACTTGAATACTGGTCTGTTGAAGGGATAGAAAATTTAAGGTATCATTCTAAGTGAGCTATATTGGCTGCCTGCAAAACCTAGTTTGGCCTGTGTGGGCTGTTACTTTATTTCAGGAGGTTGTGGCAACTCAGGAAGTCATAGTGGCAGAGGATGTGCTGCTTGGTCTCAGCCAGGAGTGCCTATTGGTATACTCATACTGTTAGCCCCTAAAGCAAGGGCTTCCCTATACTTTATATGCTTTATACAACAGTCTGTAGGATCAAGAGAAGGAAGAAGGAGTCTGCCTGTTTGGAGGGTATAGCCCTGAGATCCTAGATCCTCTGCTGTGATACCCTTTCTTTCCTTTTTTCTTTCCTTTCTTCTTTCTTTCTTTCTTTTTTTTTTTTTTGAGAAGGGGCCTCACTCTGTTACCACTGCTGGAGTGCAGTGGTGTAATCAGCTCACTGCAGCCTCAAACTCCTGGGCTCAAGCAATTTTCCCACCTTAGCCTCCCAAAGGGTTGGGATTATAGGTGTGAGTGAGCTACTGCACCTGGCCCACCCTTTCATGTTCTGACAGCCCTTGTCCAGTCTCAGCTTGGCTGGCAGTTTTTGCTTACTCTCCTGTTCTCTAGCTCTGCCTTGAGAATTGATTTGTAGTTATTGACCCCCAACTTAACTCCCAAATGGACTCTTTGTTTCTTAATTTTTATTTATTTTATTTTATTTATTTATTTATTTTATTTTCGCTTGTTGCCCAGGCTAGAGTGAGTGCCATGGCATCAGCCTAGCTCACAGCAACCTCAAACTCCTGGGCTCAAGCAATCCTCCTGCTTCAGCTTCCCAAGTAGCTGGTACTACAGGCATGCACTACCATGCCTGGCCAATTTTTTCTATATATATTAGTTGGCCAATTAATTTCTTTCTATTTATAGTAGAAACGGGGTCTTGCTCTTGCTCAGGCTGGTTTAGAACTCCTGACCTTGAGCAATCTGCTTGCCTTGGCCTCCCAGAGTGCTAGGATTACAGTTGTAAGCCACCATGCTTGGCCTGTTTCTTAATTTTTAAAAAATTTTATTTTAAATAGAGATGGGCGTCTCGCTCTTCCTCAGTGTGGTCTCGAACTCCCGAACTCAAACGATCCGCCCACCTTGGCCTCCCAGAGTGGTAGGATTACAGGTACGAGCCACTGTGCCCGACCAAAATGGACTCTTTTTGACCAGATTTGAGAAGGGACTAGGTCCTCGTGATCAGCATAGCCTTTCTGAGAGACCTGGGCCATGGGACTCCTATCTCTTCTCCTGTGACCTCAGGACACCCTAAAACAGATGGTCTTGGTATATACTCCCGTGAATCAGACTACATGCCTGTATACAAAGTTCATCCAGTCTTGACTGTCTTTTGCTTTCATAGCTGCCTTTGGATCTGAGAAACGCTTTCTCTCCATCAGGGGCTGTGGGGATGTCCCACAAAAGCCAGCTTGGCTTTTGCTCAGTGGATCCTAGCCTGTCCTGGGCTGGTCACAGCATAAGTTACCCATCCTGACTCTTGCCTCCCTTGGAATTGGTGCCGACTCACTCATCTCTGACTTGAGTGAGTTTGGGACTCACTGAGGAATGTGATTAAATGCCTGGAAATGTTCTAGCCCCTCCCTCTGTGGTGGTCAGGGAGAGTTGTCTTTGCATCTCAAGAAATGACTGCCCCCTCAGATGTCTTATTTTGGTAGAGCCTGTGAGGATGGCTTTTCATTCTGCTTCCCCTCAGCCTCCTTGCCTGCAGACAATGTGGGCTTTCCCTCAGCCCAAGATGTCAGCAGGCCGGGAGCAGCCCTTCCTGGGACTGTGCTCTCAGCTGCTGGCTTGGGCCCCTAATTGTTCTCCTGAGAACAATGGGCACTCTCTTTGGCTGGGAAGGGGAGTTCATGAAAGGAGCATTTCTTTGGATGCTTGAGAGCTTTGTGGCAACCCCGCCTGTGTGAGATGAACTACAGTTTCTTCCTGCCTTGAGTGGGTGTTCCCTGGTTCTGAATGGACTCCTTGTGAACAGAGCACACCGGGAAATGCGGGTTGGCGAAGGAAGGCATCCTTGGGGGTGGGCTGTCAGAATGGCATTTGCCCAGACTCATCAACTCACATACTTACTGAAAATATAGGCTTATAGGCTTCTATGTTTTTTTAAAAAAATTACTAACGAGGACTGAAAGAGAGCGTGACACTGTGGAATAGATGATGTCAGGGCTTGGAACTGAAGGACTAATTTTGAGGATCTTTTTAGTGGCTGTAACTATATTATGCTGCCCCTTATTTTGGGGGGGAAAGATTAATTTTTAAAAATTTTTGGTGGGAACAGTTAACATCAGATAAAAGGCTTCATAGCTCAGACTAGAAGGGCACTGACTGAGCTGGATAAATGTGCTCAGAATGTGATCCTGTGGCCTTGGTCTTTGTGGCAGGAGCTGTGTGCTGGTTTGAGGTTTGCGTGTCTAACAGTAGGACCAATGATTATGTCTTGTGGGTATGGCTCTACTTTACTTAGCAAAGCAGAGGCCCCTTGTACTCACTTCCGCCATGGTTCTTCACCTCAGGTAGAGACATAGGCCTGGCTTCTGACCTCAAGCTAGAGGCTCTTCCTGTTGACTTGTGCTACCTCCCTGCAGCACAGCCATGTGACTGCCCATGCTAATCATTCACAGAAGGCCACAGAGCAGATTTGTCTCATTGTCCATTTGTATCATAGTCCATGGCACAGACACAGGATGACCGTTAGTGTGAGTTAGCACCAAGGCTCAGACCACATCAGAGGGACCATCTCCTGTTTCCCTGAGCAGAGGACACATAGCCTACAACAAGGAGGCCTTGACCACCTCATGTGGGAGTGCCTCCAAGGTGCTGTCTATAGTAGCCAGCCACAGATGGCTGCAGGTTGGCCTACCTCTGCAGCTTGGCTGAGGTGTGAGGGAGCTGAAAGAAGCTAATGATCAGATCTGAGGGAAGGCAGGGACCTTGCTAGGGCAGGCCTCTGCAGGTCCAAGCAGTGGGGTGTCATGGGGCAATAGTCTATACCACTTGAAATGGATCACTGAGAAGACCCCCTGGCACATCTTTGGGGGAACACAGGGAAGGGCCAGCTCACACCTCAAGGGCTGATGTGTCCAGAGTTGTTGGTTGGAATGTGCCACTGCAAAGCCAAAAGGGCCCTCTGAAAGATTTGTAGTGTGAGAAAATGCTCACCAGATTAATTTCTTGATTATACCTTATTCTTTTTTTCTTTTTTTTCCCTTTGTAACCTACATTTACTAATTCCCTGCTCTTAAGCAAAAATATAAAAGTAGTTCTTCCCTGTGTTCCTGTAGGTAGGTAGTGGTGCAGCACAGTCCCCAAACCAGACATGCCTTTAATTTTGGCTTTCCCTATCTTCAGAATACCAGGTTTTCCTCTGCAGCGAGGGGCTCATTGAGAGCTGGTGTACTTGATGACAGCCTTGGTGCCCTCAGACACGGCGTGCTTGGCCAGCTCTCTGGGCAGCAGCAGGCGCACCGCTGTCTGGATCTCCCTGGAAGTGATGGTCGAGCTCTTGTTGTCATGCTCCGGGCCAGAGGCCTCGCCCACAATGCGCTCGAAGATGTCGTTGACAAAAGAATTCACGATGCCTATGGCCTTAGAGGAGATGCCGGTGTCAGGGTTGACCTGCTTCAGCACTTTGTACCCTACCTTATTCTTAAGATACCTCTTTACTAGCCATCATCAACTGAAAGTGCTTGCCTATCTATCTGTAGTCTTTGCTTGCTATTTCTAAGTCCTAGAACTCCTCAGGCCCTGAATGATAAAGCTTGTGTTTTCTTGTTTTCAGAATTCAATTATAATTAATTTGGCCCTAGTGAGAACCTAATTCTTCAGTTTTGTTTTTCAGCTATGCTTAACTGACTGGCTCAGACTGTAGGGGAAACTTGCTTTTTGATGAGGACTAAGTAATGGGAGCTCCTCTGTCCATTTGGTCTTTCTCCAGTTGTGGAATGGTACTGGTTGGGGGTGTGAGACTTTGTGTTTCATGGTGTTTAGTGCCTATAGGTGCAGTATCTTTATTAAACCAAGTGCTTGACTGTCTACTCTGTGCAAGAGGGTACCACTAAAGCAGCTGGAGGGAGTATACCAGAACTGAAGAGGAAGCCACTTGCTAGTCATCTGATAGTACAGACTGAGGAGTGACCAAAACCTTCAATTTGGCAGTTCCCTGGTCTTTGGTCATGATGATTCCTTATGGGCATCACTGGATAGGTAGTCTTTAGAACTCTTCAGGGTCCTTCCCAGGTTTTGTGAGTTTGATTCTTAATGTTTTTGGATGCACTTTATGGGCTGGGATTTCTGAAGGTGGGTATATGGTTGTTTAAGATCTTGTTTTCTGCAGCATTCAGGATCTTACTTTCTTTAGTGCTGGGCTTACCTTTTGTCTCAAAAGCACATCTTCTCCAAGGGTTGCTGAAACTGGAAAGCTTTCTGGCCTTTTGGGTGGCCTGTGAGCTGGAGCCCATGATCTCCTCGGATCAGGCTACCCCCTGCAGTTTTTGCCCCTTGCAGTTTATGCCTCTTACAGATATACCCCACTAACTGACTGAAGGCTCCTTTCTAAGACAGCAGCTATAAGGTCAGCAGGCCTTGCCTCCCACAACTTTAAGGCAGTGTTAGTATTTGGTGATGGAGAGTCTAGTGACCTGAAAACCTGGAGGAGTTCCATGGCTGCGACCAGCCTGTCACCCTAAGCACATGTGCCTCTACTGCTGAGTATCTCACACTGAGCCCTGATTCCTGCCTCTTGCCTGCCCTTCCTTGCCTGGGAGCCCTTAGAGGGTTAGTTGTAGATGGTTATGGTACAGCTAGGGTAGAAATTTTTATACTGGATAAACCAAGGACTTCAAGGATAGTCAAGATCTCATCTATAAGTAAGTATGCCAAGATCCTAGTGCACTTATTTTATTTTATTTTTTTGAGACAGAGTCTCACTCTGTTGCCTGGGCTAGAGTGCCAGGCTAGAGTCAGCCTAGCTCACAGCAATCTCAAACTCCTGGGCTCAAGTGATCCTCCTGCCTCAGCCTCCCGAATATCTGGGACTACAGGCAGGCGCCACCATGCCTGGCTAATTTTTTCTATATACTTTTAGTTGTCTGATTAATTTCTTTCTATTTTTAATAGAGACAGGGTCTTGCTCTTGCTCAGGCTGGTTTCGAACTCCTGACCTTGAGTGATCCACCCACCCCAGCCTCCCAGAGTGCTAGGATTACAGGCGTGAGCCACCATGCCAGCCCCATACCTATTTTAGACTGAAGAGGTAAATGCTGGTCTTTGGGCAGCAAGCCCGCCCCTTCCCCAGTGCCCCTGCAGGGGTCCTCAAACTTTTTAAACAGGGCCAGTTCACCGTCCCTCAGACTGTTGGAGGGCCAATGGAAAGTGCAGCACACATTCCACACATGCTCACTGTGGGCCTGGGACGAGTTGGCTGCTAAGCAGGACAGGCAGCTGCGGCAAAAACACCCGGAGGGCCGGACAAATGTCCTTGGTGGGCCGCATGTGGCCCGCAGGCTGTAGTTTGAGGACGCCTGCCTTAGGGTTTTCATCCACTCCTGGCAGAAAAGTATTGACAGGCAAGCAACTTCCTGAGGGTGCCCAGCCTCAGTCTTATTCCCCTATAGTATCCTGGCTTCCCCTTGGCTATAGCCTCCCTACTTAGATGCTCAGCTTTGAGATATGAACAGGGAGACAAGACCCCACTGTACACTGGGTCCAAGGCCAGTTGAGAAGGACTGGGGAGTGGCGCCTACACATTCTCTCGGCCTATTTGTACAGCAGTCTTACATTGTTTACTGGATCTTCTCATAGCCTATAGGAGCCCATGGGACCCAGCATTGGGTGGAGAGTCCGTCAGGTGCCTGGCCCATAATCATACAAGGATGAGATCGTTTCCTCCATTTTAGAGATGAGGACATTGGGGCTAAGGTCAAGCCTCAGCCTGCTTGGAGCTGGGATTCATGGTGAAAGACAAGGCTTCTCATCTGGTTCGCTATTGTTACAGGGATGAGTCCTGGCTTGTCATGAGAGCTGCATCTGTCAGAAGGAACTTTCATATCCTACTTCACTTTTAGGCCCTGAGAGAAGAGAGGTGACCTAGAGCCTGTAGGATTTGAAAGTTGAGGGGCGGGGAGTAAACTAGAGTTCCTATGGGTTGAGGGACTCCTGCTTTGTTAGGGTAGAGCAGGTGTTTCACCTCTGAGCACCTCTGCAGTGAGCCAGGCCCTGAGCCAAGTGCCTTCAGGAGGGAGGGACTGTGGACACTGCCAGCCCTTCAGGCATGTTCAAACTTCCCAGGTTAGGGGCTTTCCCCAAATGGCCTTGAAAATGCAGAGATGTCAGTGTGCTTGTGACTTGGCTGGGTTCCTTGTGGAAATTAGGTTTGTTTTGCTTCCTGTGGCCCTTCTATTAAAATGAATCATTGTCACTCAAAGAACTGCTTGGGCCTGACTTTCCCATTACTGAGACACCTGGAGGGGGTTTAAGAGTGTTCAGGTTATTACCTTTCCTTCCTGTCTGAGGAGTACTCATGACTCTGAGGGGACTGTCTGCTTTGGCGCTGTAGATACAGTTTGGTCATCTGTCCTGCAGCCAGTTCACAGCCAAGGCTTCAGGACCTTGGGGAGCTAGAATTTGCAGAGGGGAAAGCAAATATAAACTGGAGAGGCTTGGCTCTGTTTCTCTGACATGGCTTGCCGCAAAGGCACAGGTAAGCTTTACATGGCTATAAAGTCGTGTATAGGCAATAGTGAAAGAATTTGTTTTCAGTAATCAAAATAAAGCTATCAGTTCTCAACTTCCATCTCCCAATTTGAAATTAAGTATTATAACTTACTTTGGTAAAATCTGGGATTTTCTTTAATGTTAATTATTTATGTTACATGATATTAACAGGTTATAATGTTAGTTGGCATAGTTAAAATAAGCATATGGCTTCCAAGGCTGACTGTATGGGAGCCTTGGTCATAGAGGGGCCTGCGTTTCTTCTGTAGGAAATGTCTGACAGCAGAACTTTGGCTGTTGGGGTCAGCAGCATAGGAGATGAGTCAGGCTGGGAAGCTTTGAGGAGGCAGGGCCCTTCTCTGTTTTTTTTTTTTTTTTGAGACAGAGTCTTGCTTTGTTGCCTAGGCTAGAGTGAGTGCCGTGGCGTCAGCCTAGCTCACAGCAACCTCAAACTCCTGGGCTCAAGCGATCCTTCTGTCTCAGCCTCCCAAGTAGCTGGGACTACAGGCATGAGCCACCATCCCTGGCTAATTTTTTCTATATATATTAGTTGGCCAATTAGTTTCTTTCTATTTATAGTAGAGACAGGGTCTCGCTCTTGCTCAGGCTGGTTTCGAACTCCCGACCTCGAGCAATCCGCCCGCCTCGGCCTCCCAGAGAGCTAGGATTACAGGCGTGAGCCACTGCGCCCGGCCCTTCTCTGTTTTTTATTTTATTAATATTTGTAGACCCTCAGTGAGTGTCTCAGAGAGCAATCAGGAAAGAGATACTCCTATAATAACTCCTAATAACATCAGTTGTCTTCTCGTGGGTTTTCGCTGGAAGTGGGAAACCTGTTTAAACCAGTTTAAAGGGGAGAAAAATATATAGTGTCCGATAAAGTTGCTGCCTGGACTCCTGGGTCCTGCTGGGAGTATCAGGTACAAGCCTAGTGTCTCCTTCCTAATCACTCGGGTACTTTGGCTTTTGGCAAGAGGAAGCTCAGGGGACCAGAGCCACTAGGGAACCCAGCAGTCATGGCTTTAGCCTTCCTGCCACAAGGAAGGAAGCATTTTAGTATCCCTCTGCTGATAAGCAGCAACCATGAAGGCCAAGGGCTGAGGCTGGTAATGAGATGTGCTGTCTGTTGGCCAGTGTGTCCCTGGACTTGGTAAAGGGTAGTGGATCTGAGAGTTCCTTCAGGCAGACCACCTGTGGATGCCACCTTTCTTGCACTGGGGACAGGAGTAGGTTTTTTCCAAAGGTAAGAGGAACCACATTAGCCAGGCATGGTGTCATGTGCCTGTAGTCCCAGCTACTCGAGAGGCTAAGGCAGGAGGATCCCTTGAGCCCAGGAGTTTGAGGTTGCTGTCAGCTAGGCTGATGCCGCCACGGCACTCTAGCCCGGGCAACAGAGTGAGACTCTGTCTCAAAAAAAAAAAAGAGGAGCCATAGATGGGCCTGGGCAAGGACAAGTCTTATTTCCTTTTGTCAGCTGATGGTAGAAGTTTCTATGGCAGCATTCCCTTGGAGCTCTGAGTATTGCCAGTTATGTCCCTGTGGAAAAGGACTTACACACTGAAAGAAGTCTGGGAGGTAGAATAAGGGGATGAGCTCCTTAGGACTGTTTCTGTGCCTGGGCTCTCCAAGGGCAGAAGAGAGCTCTATATAGTTCTCATACTTGGTTAACTATGGAATCTCTCTTTTAGAGAGAACAGAGCTCCTTGGGATTCCTTTGATAAACACTTTGTAGAATAGTTGATTCTAGTTCCCTTACCCTAGACGACCACAGTTTCTCTTGAGGTTTGCGAAGCAGGGTTAATTAAGGCATTAGAAGGCTGGGCGCGGTGGCTCATGCCTGTAATCCTAGCTCTCTGGGAGGCTGAGGCAGGTGGATCATTTGAGTTCTGGAGTTCGAAACCAACCTGAGCAAGAGCGATACCCTGTCTCTACTATAAAAATAGAAAGAAATT